TATTATTGAATTAAATTTTAAGCCCAGAGTTGTCCGTATTGGGCTTAAAGTTTGAAATTTGGGAAATATCTCGTGAGTTATATCCTCAGATACCACCCAGCCTTAGTTCGGTCAAGTGATGCGTTTTGATCAATCGCGCGCGAGCAAAAATATTTGTTAGATTATGATACTGAACAGACGCACGGCAACGTGAAATCTATTTGTTGAGTAGAAACAAATTAAAGGAGGGTTGTTGATGATTTCGGGAGCATAGCTCTGCCTTAGTGTCATTTATACGAGTCATGAGTTGAATGCCAGTCTCTAGCAACAACTGAGATTGTCACACGTTACCCTCCCTATGGATAAAGTTCACACAACAAGCAGATGGACGATCGGACATTAAAGTTCTAAGAGCAACCCGAGTAGCATCAAACCATGTCTTTAGCAGAAATTGCCTGCTAAAGTGGCCACAATTCCTCGACATCGATCATTTTGCCCGTTTGGTTCGCCAGTTTAAAGAAAATGCCAATTTCAGAGGCAGAAAAACTTTCAAATATGCAAACATTATTATGGTTTAGGTCAACTCAAAAGAAAAAAATGCTTTCTGATTTGGACACCAACCTTTACAGAGGGGGACATCAGAGTTTGCCGTGTTGACCCTTTTATTTAATGCGGTATTGCGGTGAAGAACAACTCGCATTGCAGTGTTACGCAAATCTCAGACCTTACGGTTAACGATGTTTGTAATTTTAAATCGACGGTTTTCGTTGTATAAATAATTTCCGGTGTTGCAGTTTATTCTTTAACCTTGTTAAACACTAGATTTTGGAAACCCGTGGTTAATTGTCGAACGAAATAACAATACATCCCAATTGATTATTAATAAACATTAGCTGATTAACGCCAGGCCGTGTTCATTAATATTTTTCTTGACCTGTGGACCTCTACAACACGTGCTATCGGCCAGCCAAAGACCAGCGCGTAGTAAAGATGAGTAAACCAGACCAGGTTAATCCTGAAACTTAAACTAAATCGCGGTGTCAGTTAGTTTCCTTCGCAGCCGTCTTTCGGGATGTCGGGGGAACGTTGCGTGACATTCCAAAAGACGGCTGCGAGGGAGACTAGGTGTCAGTGTGTTGATAACAATTCTTGCGGTAATGCAGTGTTCAGACCTCCCGTGTAACTAAAATTTTAGAAGCACTGTGTTGTTCACAAAAGTCCACAGGTTTAGTACATGAAGAATACGTCATCTCGCTAGATTCGAGTCGATATCCACCGTAGCATAGCTGTCCGAAGTGTCTGTTGAAGGTGTTACGCACATACTTGTCAATGTATATGAGCACGATCCTTCGCAGTAAAGCACTATTTGAGCAATAGTGAAAATCAGACCTGAAAAAAATTTCAGGCCTGTACGGGATTCGAACCACTGACCTCTGCGATACTAGTGCAGCGCTCTACCAATTGAGCTAACAAGCCAACTGGGAGCAGGCCATCAAATTAATTCGACATAAACCCGTAGATGATAAATCAAACAACAACAAACATATGAAACATATGTGTGAACTGCGGTTATGAGACGTATATGAGCACGATCCTTCGCAGTAAAGCACTATTTGAGCAATAGTGAAAATCAGACCTGAAAAAAATTTCAGGCCTGTACGGGATTCGAACCACTGACCTCAGCGATACTAGTGCAGCGCTCTTACCAATTGAGCTAACAAGCCAACTGAGAGCAGGCCATCAAATTAATTCGACATAAACCCGTAGATGTTAGATGCGTTAGCAATCGCCTAAACAAGAGTTAAAAACTGTTTAAATTTGTTGCTACGGTTAGGTCGTCAGAAATGAGACAGGAAACTGGTTGGAGACAATGTGCCGTAAGAGCTGGGACGTAGAAGAGTTTATTGGTCATTACGCGAAANTTTTTTTCAGGTCTGATTTTCACTATTGCTCAAATAGTGCTTTACTGCGAAGGATCGTGCTCATATACGTCTCATAACCGCAGTTCACACATATGTTTCATATGTTTGTTGTTGTTTGATTTATCATCTACGGGTTTATGTCGAATTAATTTGATGGCCTGCTCCCAGTTGGCTTGTTAGCTCAATTGGTAGAGCGCTGCACTAGTATCGCAGAGGTCAGTGGTTCGAATCCCGTACAGGCCTGAAATTTTTTTCAGGTCTGATTTTCACTATTGCTCAAATAGTGCTTTACTGCGAAGGATCGTGCTCATATACGTCTCATAACCGCAGTTCACACATATGTTTCATATGTTTGTTGTTGTTTGATTTATCATCTACGGGTTTATGTCGAATTAATTTGATGGCCTGCTCCCAGTTGGCTTGTTAGCTCAATTGGTAGAGCGCTGCACTAGTATCGCAGAGGTCAGTGGTTCGAATCCCGTACAGGCCTGAAATTTTTTTCAGGTCTGATTTTCACTATTGCTCAAATAGTGCTTTACTGCGAAGGATCGTGCTCATATACGTCTCATAACCGCAGTTCACACATATGTTTCATATGTTTGTTGTTGTTTGATTTATCATCTACGGGTTTATGTCGAATTAATTTGATGGCCTGCTCCCAGTTGGCTTGTTAGCTCAATTGGTAGAGCGCTGCACTAGTATCGCAGAGGTCAGTGGTTCGAATCCCGTACAGGCCTGAAATTTTTTTCAGGTCTGATTTTCACTATTGCTCAAATAGTGCTTTACTGCGAAGGATCGTGCTCATATACGTCTCATAACCGCAGTTCACTCATATGTTTCATATGTTTGTTGTTGTTTGATACTTGTCAATGTTATGCGCACTAAATAGTTGTCAATGCTCGTAATGTAGACTATATTTAAGATGTGCACTGTAGTTTGATTTAGACTGTATTTTGCGCGTTTTGAGTGAACATTAAAGTTTTGTTGGATACTACATCCACAATTCAGGCAAGCAGAGAATGAATGACAGAACCCATTCAAACTACCAAGAAGCATTAGCTAAGAAAACAAACTTCATTTAATCAATTTAAGACATTACAATTGGCTAATGAAAAGTATGGTGTGTGTATGTAGTCTAACATAGAGCTGCGAGGATTAACCACAGCGAGACAAACTTAAACCATTGATCCCTTGCAATGACAAAATATCTAAATTCTCCTTACAGCATCAAACAAAGTGAAACATTAACACTTTCACTCCCTGGATCCCTTTCTAATTCTCCCTACTGTCTGCCACATTTTCCTAAAGATGTTAATGCCGAGAATTTAAAAATAATCCTTTCATGCCGATGTTTTTTTTTATTCTTGTCTCTTGTTAACTTAATCTAATAATGATAATGGAAGGAGAAACTACGTATTGGTCACTCATGGGGGTGAAAGCATTAAGGTCGAGGAAATAATCACAAATTAAACAAGCACATGCAAGCTCAATCAAATTCTCCTAGTTTAAGAGCAAAGATATCTACATAGAGCAAGAAAAAAAACTGTAATTTGATGTCGAGTGTTAAGGTGAGTTTAATTGGGGATATTTTACCCACACTAAAAAACCCCGCTCCTGTTTAACAGAAACCTGTTTATTTTCCCTCTCTTTTGATAAGGAGAAATTGTGTACATTAAAAGTAACACACACTGACTTTAGAAAAGCAGAACATTTAGAGAAAGATTTAAAAGCTATAACAGTAACGAGTATTTAGACGGGACGATACCACGTTCCCACACTTTCAAGATTTCTGGTACCAAAAGATACCCTGCAAAGCTAAATGGTTAAATTATATAACCTGTTTAAGCTTCAAGACCCCAACAAGCATACCTTATAAGGTAGTCCACACCCATCAAAATGGGAGAGAGCCCCATCTCCCAAGGGATTTATACTGTTTCATTTACCAATTGTTTTTAAAACAAACCAAGCTTTTTCTTTGGAAGCTTGGATCTGTAAAAGCACCTTCCTCCAGCTTTGTCTTATTACTACAGAAAATTACTACATATAAAACAGAAACTGAGTAAATGAGTGCCACCGAATTTGTTATGTCAGCTCAAAAATTCCATCCATATCATTAAGGTTCAATTGAAGTTGTCGCACAATTTCAAAAATAAAATTCTTAATAGGGGTATACCTCTTCTACACAAAAATATAATTACCTTGGTACTTAAGGGTGTTTACATATGCCGCATCTTTCTCGAAAGTCAAATTCGAACCTCACAAATGTCACGATATTATTATTAAGTACTCGAATAAGCCATCTACTGGCTGCTTTGTACACTACAAAGTCTGCTCAACAGGAGATCAAATGTAATCAATTTTACTAATTCAAGTAAAACTGATTATTTCTTGAGGAGTAACTTAAGGGATGTTCATCATTTATCTGGTGCTGTCCAGGCAATAGCTCACCTGTGGGACTAAACAAGAGTCTTTGATGCCCTTTGAAGGCAACTACTGTAACACTGGTGAATACGATACACCTTTTTCGCTGAATTTTTTGTAACTTGTCTACAAGAACATCTGGAAGTTTTTCAGCCAAATTTGCCAAGGACAACTGAATACTATTTGTCTGCTAAGGCTCAAAACTTCTTTTGATTCTTAAGAATCCATCACAAGAGTTTCACTGACGCAATGAGATAAAAAAAAAACTTAGGCAGAGACGACAACAGTGTCTGGGGAAAAGCTGATCAAAAATATACATTGTACTTGTAAATCTATTAAAAAATTTATAAGTGGGTACATGAAGGTGTATTCAGTTTTTTTGACCACCTATCTATGTTTGTCTGTATGTGAATACAGGCCTCATTTCCCTATGGGAACAAAAATTCACTATTGTGGTTCACAGATTCAAACCTCATGAATGTGGAGAATATACTGAATGACATTTTAAGATGTAAATACAGAGCCATTTCTTAGTTCATTTCACTGGTTTGTTATGCCAAAGTTCTCAGTATCCTGCTATTCTTCACTAGCTTAAGTTCCCTATTTTAGCCAAAAGAAGCATCAAAAGTTACTCTTGTTCACAATAATTCCCACAGGAGCTAATCAATATACCTGACAAACTTTGTAAATGGAAAACATCCCTGTGATATTACTCATTAATGTTAGCGCTCCGTAGACAACGCCTATTCCAATTAACTTTTGAGACAATTGAGAATTGATTGGTAACACGAAGATCTGGAAACTCCTAATCCTAATTTTAATGTTCATTAGTTACATTTTAATTTCTGTCCATTCCAATCAATCTGGACTTTCACTAGCTGGTATTACTTGCACGTAGTTAAACTGAAAATAGCCTGTTCTGTCGCCTTTTTGACCAAACCACTTTCCATTATCATATTTCTTTAGCACCTTGATGATATCTCCTTTCTGCAAGGTAGTGTTGTGTTAGTAAGATAACAAGATTTTGTTCCATCACTATCAGGAAATCTTTTTCTGTCCCTTTCAATAAAATGTGAACTTTATGTCCCAGTGCTACAAATTGGAGCCAGTAGCTGGCCAAAACTAGTAGCTAGTCTTTCTTCTGGACAGCCACCACTTCCCAATTTAATTGGAAATGAATGCATAATTTATCGCTGGCGGGTTTAGACAAATGATTTTGATTCCACTTTCAGAGTTTGCTTGAAGGTTCATGTGAACTTCAGGGAATGTCTGGAACAAAACTGAAAACTCCCCAGTCCTGCCTATAATCTGATAAAACAACATGGCTTTTATTATAACCTGGCTGCCTGTACCATCAACTTCCATAGTGTGGATGTTAAAGTTACGTCAACACGTAATCTCTTAGATTTCTGAGGAAAACTTGATTAAACGCACAAATGCAATTTAGAACCTGGTGAGAAGAATTTTACCACATTCCATGGAACAAATTTGGATGCAACTCCATTAATTCATGACATGAAATAGAGAAACATATATTGATTTACCTCGAATGCAAGTGTTGTGTCATCATAAGGCATTAGATGTTTGCGTGTAGCACGGACATACATTGACCCTTCTGTTTCAGCTGCCTAATGTAAAGAAAAATAAGCAAGAAGAGGTAAACATTACTCAACAACTTAAACACATCAAAAGGCATTAACATAAAATGCAACTTCTCCAAGGCATATAAACCAATCTACAGCCAAACTTGTACTAAGTAGTCACCAATTAGAATGGCAGGGTGACCATTTAAAACAAATTAACCTCTTAATACAGATTGACCTGCAAATAACTTATCTCATGTGAATTCAAGTGAAATAGTTGTCCTAACACTTCAAAGAAGAAAGATAATCTGCAATATGTTGTGGACATTTGAACTCAAATCGCTAACATTAATTTTAGGAAAAAATTTGACTTAAGAGATTTTAGTTCTATTTGATGGTTTGGTTTGGAGTGACCATTCAATACAGGTGGAAGGCAATACTTGTAAACAGGCAAACCTCTTGATACAGGGTGACCACTCTATATGATGCCACCCAAATTGTCAATACAGGCTTAACTGTACTTCCATTTTTGTAGGGCATCATTTATGGGGTGCCATTACCACCAATATTCAGCTACGGCTTTTTTATAAAATGGTGGTTAAGATATGATGCCAATTAGTAAGATAACAAGATTTTGTTCCATCACTATCAGGAAATCTTTTTCTGTCCCTTTCAATGAAATGTGAACTTTATGTCCCAGTGCTACAAACTGCAGCCAGTAGCTGGCCAAAACTAGTAGCTAGTCTTTCTTCTGCATAAAACAGGATTGGCTTAATATCTTAAGCACCATTTTATAAAAAAAACAGTAGCTGAATATTGGCAGTAATGGCACCTCATAGTTATTAAACATATGTATGGATTGCTACTTCATACTGAACAAACACAAGATGTGTTTTTGTCTAGGAAGATTTGGTTTGAGAGGGCTTAGGGTGATCAGTAAGAAACAATGTTTTTCAGTTTAGTTAGTAACAAGGAAAAGGTAGACAAGATAACACTGACACAAGTTCACACATCACGACAGTCTCTGAGCACTTGGATATACAGTTCTGCCTGGAGCCAGAAGAAATTACCATGTGTAAACTACATGGGCAGAATGCAATTCACAAACATAAGCCTAGACTAAAATAAATCTGGGTTTTGAGAATAACACCTTTTAAAACTTAAATTACCTGGTGCAACGGTCTCATGTTGGGCGGTACTGAGGTTCTTCTGACTTCACTATTATTTTGAGCTGTAGTTGTAGGTGGGGGCATAGACCTTCTTTGATCATTTGCTGGTGGTGCCATAGGCTGCACCGGAGAGCCTGGTTGCATGTCACAAAGCTGAAAGCCAAGCAGATACCCAGGCTTCTGTATCAGTCTTCTATATCTAACCATTTTACCAGTGGTGGATCTAGGGAAAGGGTACACCCCCTTCCCTTATTTAGGGTAAAAAAAAACCAAACAAACGCAAAGGGAAGAAAAGCCAGTAGGTGAACACACACACAAACAGAAATGGGCTGCCCCCTTTAGCTTAATGTCTGGATTTGCCACTACTTGCCTCTTTTCACCACAAAGGGTAAGAAGAAGAAAACCCTTTCCTTGTAATAACAATCAACTGTCAAGTAGAAAGGTATTTTGATAAGGGACTGAGATAAACAAAGGAATGCTACCTCCACATACATAATCTGCTCAGGAATTAGTAGCTAACATTGAGCACGATATGAATTATCAAAATTGAGGTCTGAATGCTGAGACATATAACACAGACAAGAGGTTTAATAATTCACAATATCATACAAAAACAGATTTCAATAATTGTTTTAAATGACCTGTATAGGAAGACACTGTACTCCAAGTTTGCAAAAGTTTGAACATGTTACTCTGTACATGGACAAGGGACTTGGAAACTTAAGCAGACTTTGAACTTGACATGATAAAAGCAAAATCTTTAGCAGATACATCTACTGCATTTATCATATCAACTTCATACACTATTGTGTCTTGATTAAATGCTCTACACCAATCTCACTTTTCACAGCAAATCTAATTATAACAAAACCAAATAGAGCAGTATTCAGGACATTTAGATTGGAAGGAAATATTTAGACTCAGAAAACCAGACTTGTAGAAAATGCAGCCAACAGACACTGGTCAGCAACTAAATTAATACCAGTTCCTGCACTTCCATTGCTACCTACTTTGCAGTTTCTACTGTTTATTTAAACTTAATGAAACCCTTGGTGAATGAGTAAAAATGTGTGAATGGGAATCTTGAAAAACAAAGGACAAAGATGTCACCCATACCTTTTTAACATACGGTTCAGGTATGAGGCCCTTTTGGCCTTGTTCATTTATGGCCGTCCACCACTTTTCTTCATTTTGTTCAACAACTATTAAAACATCTCCTTTTTTAAAGCTGAGATCTTCTGCGTCCTGAACAAAATTGATACAATAGGATATAATTGAGCATTATGATGCACCAACATGATTCGGTAAAGCTCACACAATGACACTCTATCCACAAAAACCTGCAGAATCTTGCTCAATACTCAAGAAATGTGTTATAAGTTTCTACAAAGACATGTTTAGCTGTTCATGACCAATACAACAAGAAACTCATTGGTTCTTGTTTTCAAGGACATTGTTTACCAGGTGACTGGTCCAAACTCTTGTGTATCGCCCAAGGCTGAGGACCAAGGGCACAGTTTTTTTCCCACATGGACCGAAGTAGGACTGGTGAATTACATTTATATTTGTCCACTGGTTTCCATTTTTGCTCCACAGTAAACTGGACTGATTGGTCATTGCCCAAATGAGAAACTTCAGATAAAAAACAGAGACCACATAAAAAAATAACAATGGTAAGATGTTTAATTGGTTACCTTTGCAGAAAATGGATACTGAGCTTGCACTTTAAATAGCTGTGAATCAAAAAGTTATGGTGAATCAAATACACCGATAATAAGTGTGCAAAGAAAAACAATGGATCAAAACCTACCACAAATGAGGACAGTAAGTGAACGTACATATATAATTACTCAATGTGCAATATTTGTAAGTTGCTTGTAAATCAAATTCAAACCATCACTTGTGAGTGTTTTCTTTGCCATAATGTTCCACTATTTTTAACCCTCTAACTCCCAGAAGTGATTAACATGTAACTTCTCCCTACAATATCCATACAATATTCACCAAACAGGTAATGAGAATACTCAGATTTATCAGGTAGAAGTTGATATCTCAATCTGTAACATCAGCTTCTTGTGACTAATTTACAAGGAAATGTGTAGCAGCTAGAGGGGAGAATTAAAAATCAGATCTTAACAGTTCAAGGGTAATTGAGAATTAATGAGCAAACACATTAAATACCCCTTATCTCATTAGCTATACATCCAATTATAACAGTCCAGTGAATACGTATGATGCACGATCCTCGCAGTAGATAGCGCTATTTATCGCTATTTATGCAATAGTGAAAATCAGACCTGTACGGGATTCGAACCACTGACCTCTGCGATACTAGTGCAGCCCTCTACCAATTGAGCTAACAAGCCAACTGGGAGCAGGCTGTTAATTTGATTCATAATAAACCCATGATGAACAATTATGAACATATTATGAATAAATTCATAATAAACCCATGATACAATGAATATATGAAGTTCATATATTTTGAACTGCGGTTGTAGATATGTATGATGCACGATCCTCGCAGTAGAGAGCGCTATTTATGCAATAGTGAAAATCAGACCTAAAAAAAATTAAGGCCTGTACAGGATTCGAACCGCTGACCTCTGCGATACTAGTGCAGCGCTCTACCAATTGAGCTAACAAGCCAACTGGGAGCAGGCCATCAAATTAATTCGACATAAACCCGTAGATGATAAATCAAACAACAAACATATGAAATACATATATATGAACTGCGGTTATGAAACGTATATGTGCACGATCCTTCGCAGTAAAGCACTATTTAAGCAATAGTGAAAATCAGACCTGAAAAAAATTCAGGCCTGTACGGGATTCGAACCACTGACCTCTGCGATACTAGTGCAGCGCTCTACCAATTGAGCTAACAAGCCAACTGGGAGCAGGCCATCAAATTAATTCGACATAAACCCGTAGATGATAAATCAAACAACAAACATATGAAATACATATATATGAACTGCGGTTATGAAACGTATATGTGCACGATCCTTCGCAGTAAAGCACTATTTAAGCAATAGTGAAAATCAGACCTGAAAAAAATTCAGGCCTGTACGGGATTCGAACCACTGACCTCTGCGATACTAGTGCAGCGCTCTACCAATTGAGCTAACAAGCCAACTGGGAGCAGGCCATCAAATTAATTCGACATAAACCCGTAGATGATAAATCAAACAACAACAAACATATGAAACATATGTATGAACTGCGGTTATGAAACGTATATGTGCACGATCCTTCGCAGTAAAGCACTATTTGAGCAATAGTGAAAATCAGACCTGAAAAAAATTTCAGGCCTGTACGGGATTCGAACCACTGACCTCTGCGATACTAGTGCAGCGCTCTACCAATTGAGCTAACAAGCCAACTGGGAGCAGGCCATCAAATTAATTCGACATAAACCCGTAGATGATAAATCAAACAACAACAAACATATGAAACATATGT